GCAGAGACAGACAGTCTGGCTCCGATTTATGCTCTGTGCTAACACAGCTAACAGGCGTTAGTATTTTGATTTAGAGAAGTGCTGTGCTTGATCCTGACTTGGTTGTACACTGCTAACATCTGGCTTAGAATCACATAGTTAAAGACAAAAGGCTATTTCTCTGTCTCCCTTCCCACTTTCTGTATCTCCTCCCTTCCTCCCTCTTTCTCTCTCCACTCTGTTCCTTTTCTTTCTACATTCAACAAAATGCTGTGGGAATAGTTGTAGTGTTTCTAAAGAGCTGTACACAAAACCAATTGGCAGAAGTTCAGTTCGCTCTGTGTTAAACTCTGTTGTAGACACTTTGAATCCTTTTGGAACTATAATACCTGTATAATATGCATCAGAACTTCCACAAAACCTTGCTCATGCCTGTATTATCCCGCTTTTCCCCCTCAGTGCAGTTTTTACTATCACTTTGTATTTAGATCCTAAACTCAACACTCACTCCAGTGAAATGGAAAAAATGCAGCAACTGTGGATTCATAAGGTGCCTGTGATTCTATAAACATCTAATGAAAATGAGCAAACATCTCTGTATAAGGCTTGGGCTCCATCCAAAAGTACACTTCTCTCTCCGATGCCTGATAAAACAGTGAAACTGCAGGCACTAGCAGCAGTTCCTTGGCAGTCTGGCAAGGCGGAGGATGCCCCATGTCTCAGGACAGTGGGAAGGCTATGCCACACCTACTGTCTGTGGTTCCATAGCTGCAGAAATGCAGCCCTGTGATCTGTTGCTTAGATTTAACTGCTCCAGTGCCTTAGTAAGTTGGAAAGTAAGTAAAATGAGATAGTCGACATTAAGGCCTTGGAAAACATTCTGTTAGGATCAAGGTCACCACCTCTGACAGTCACGGTTTTATTTAACTCGAGGCATCATGGTCCCCAGCCCATTTCTACAGGGCCCAGACAGAACACCTCCTTTTCAACAACCTTGCTGTCTGGAAGCCTGGCAAGAGGAAGCTGAGCCACTCACCTGCCAGCAAAGGGCCAACCTCAACTCACCCAGGGACCAAATGGTGTTTTGCCAAAAGGCTTTCTAAGTCCTGCATAAGTAGCAGGTTGTGATGTGGAATCAGCACAGCTTGAAAACCAAGCAGACAGCCTGCCCGGTGCAGGGTGGTGCATTCCACGGCAGCGCTCCCAGCTGGCTTTCGTCACCAGCATGCTGTGCTTGCTTCTTACAGGATTCTTGCACTTTTTCAAAAACACTCATACGTGTTTGCATGCTTATCAGATGCCCCAAATGCATTCTGCATGGGTTTTCCTATCACTGTTTGGGTAGTGTAGAGAGTTATGTGGCTGCAAAACAAGGAACTGGTGGAGATAACAATCATAAAAGAATGGTATGTTTTCAGCATCCCTATAAATCTGATCCCTAAATGCAAAGAATGTGTAGACTGAACATTGGATGAGCAATCCAATAATTTTATTGAAAACTTAAAAAGGGGAAAAATTGGCAACTCATAGGAGAAGAGTTTAACCAACCTGTGCTCCAGAAGGAAAACCTTTTAAGTAAGATATTTGTGCACTCACATCTGAAATAGATATTTCTAGGGCAAGAATCATCAGAAACACGCAGAGTAGTGTGGGACTCGGTTTCATTGTCTTGAATCAGTGAAAATTCCTCAAAAGCAGAAAGCATCACTAATGGAATTATGTTTTCATGCTGTAATTACATCTGATTTGTCCTGATATTTCTGTAGATGTTTTGTTCCGGAGTTCATGACTAGGCGGAATATTTACAAATTTTCTATGTTCTCTGTCTATCCAGTGCCCATCTCCCCCTAAAAAAAGAAAGACTAGTAATAAAATTTTATTATTTGAGACAGAGTCTCACTGTGCAGTTCAGACTGGGCTTGAACTCACAATGTAACTCAGGTTGGCCTCGAACTTACAGTGTCTGAGCTTCCTGGGTGCTGGGATTACAGGTGTGTACTACCACACCCAGAAAGGATTTTCAACACAAAAAAAGACAAACTGAATACTTCTTAAAATCTGTATGCAAATTTCTGAGTTTCTTTTAACAACAGAAGAACAAAAGAATTATATACATGAAGGCTATGGATGTAATTGGGGTTAGAACTCTTGCTTGTATGTGAGGCCCTAATACCCAGTACTGAAGGGGAAAAAATAAATAAATAAATAAGTAAAGGCTGAGCAAGGGATCCTGAGTTCTGAAATTCTTTGAGATAGAAGAGCAGCAGTTCATGTTTTTCCACTTTTGAATGCACATTTGTTGGGTTGGACAGTTTATTTGGTCTGTGCTCTTGTTGCTGAAGACAAAAAGAATCCAGCTGGAGAATTGAGCGGGCCTGAGAGTACAGTTGGAATGCATGGAGACTGTGGCTGGTCTACATCCATTTTTTGATAAGTGAGCCATATCAGCTATAGAACATTCTCAAAAAATCACTGCTGAAGAGGTATACATGATGAGGAAAGTGTGTTGGAATTTGACATAGCATCATGGCCTTCTCTCCCACATCAAATCTTAACTGCGTCCTAAGTGTCTTAAAGTGCCACTAGCGCCCCATTTCTATTTTTGAGCACACAGTCTCTGTTTTCTAGATTTGAATGGATATGGAATAAGGGAATGACAGTTTAAATACACACACATTCTAGAGCAGTGATGATGACCATTTTATAGTCCAGTGCCCAAACTGCAACCTCAGACCCACTTATTTAGTGCAAGTGACAAACCTCCAAAGAAACCCGAATGCTGACCATTGAGTTTAGAAAGAATGTCTCATACATTAACATCTTTTGTATTAAAAGCAGAACAAATTGCACATGTGCTGTGGTTTCACCACCTGAGGTGCCCCAAATGCATTCTGTAATGCTTCATGGGTTTTCCTATCACTGTCCTAGAGTTTCTCCCTCAAAGCGTTATGGTAGGAAATACAAGCATAAAATGTGCTATCACAGAGTAGGTGTGGAATGGAATTAAAAGGTGGATAGAGACAAACATCTTGTGGGCAGACAGAGGTTGCCTGTTCTTATCACAAAATTAGTTAGCATTATGTTTTCCTGAGTTTAAATGCATTTCTTCAAATGCTACTTGTTAGAATGCTGAAAATGCAGCTTCATTTCTCTTCTGTTAAATCTCTGCAATCTGGCTCCTGGCCTCACTATTCCACCAATATCACCCTCTGACGTCTTTAAGCCAAACCCAGTAATGTCCTTCTGGAAAGGGCAGCCTTATTCAAAACCATGTTATTCTCCCTGCTAGCACTCATCTGGACCCAGAATCAGGATTTGTCCTTTCCAGGTTTTCTGTGGCCTGTGTCTTTGGAGTCACACTGGTGGCCCTTCCCCTTTAGCAATCACTCAGTGCAATTTTGTACATATATTGCATCCCATCCCTATCTTTAAACTCTCCTCACTTCTCTGAGTCTTGTATCTCTTCATGCAGGCTGTCAGCTGTGGCTGATCCTGGTAAAGGAAAAATTCTTGTCCTGATGCTCGACTCCTTGCTGCTGTATAAGATCTTAGTTTCTTAAAGTGAAAGTGGGATCATTTTGACCACCCCCTAACCCTTTTTACACTCTGTGCATATACATTTTTGCAGGTATGATATTAAGTGAATGAGCTGTCCTTCAATCATCCTTCATCTTTCCCTGTTCTTCTCTAGAGAAATACAGTTTAGACCAAACTGTAAACGTAGGAAGATCGACACTTCTGTCAATTAAAATGTAGGCCATAGTAGTGGCTGTGACTTCTTTTACCATTTTTTTCATCCCACCTTAATGTAGTATTCTTTTCTCAAGTCCTGCAAAGATCCAGTGACTTATTTTTCTCTATATTCTAATTCTCATTACTGTTTTGAAAGTGAAATCTTTCCCTCTTTTTAACCAGTGTATCTCATTCTTTAGTATTTTATCCAAATACCTTTCTCCAAAAGATTTCCACGGAGTACATTTTAAACTCTGTCTTGTCAACTACCTAGCTTTCTCTCATTCTCATGAATATACAGCTTGAGATGAAAATTCATTCCGAGTTATTTCTACTTGTGTGTAGATTCCCGTAAAGTCACGGATGTATCTGCTCATGTCTCAATCTTCCTTTCCCCTCATCGCCCATAATTCTGCACTTCTCAGGCTTAGACAGGTTTGTGATTTTTATAACTAAAGGTGCATTTTTAGTTAGTACGTGTTTGCAGTATGTAATGATGACACTTATCATGGGGAGATTATACGTGTGCATAGCATGTCTTCCTTTATTCCTTGTCCCTATTTCCCTCCAGCCCCTCCCTGCTCTCTCTGACTCTTGATTCCCTTTCCATTTCAAAATGCCTTATCTCCATTTTTCTTCAGTTCTTCTTTTAATCCTTTCGCCTTTTCTTGTTCCCTTTCCTATTTGAAAACAGTCTCCTTACAGTCTATGACTACCTGTTATTTTGAGTTCAAGGCCAGGCTTAACTATGTAGTTAGACCCTGTTTTACCAACTTGCCAAACAAACAAACAACAATATAATATCATGTCAGTCTTTTGGAACTGCACCTTTTTCAACAATAGGAAAATCTTTTTAATAATACATACATTTTTAAGAGTTTTAAATTAACATATAATTATATACCTTGGAGGTACTTCCCGTATTTCAATATATGTGTACAATATGCAGTTTCCAAATTGGAATTTCGTGTATCCATTATCTCAAACATGTATCATTTCTTCCTGTTGGAGACATTCAAAATATGTCCTTCTAGCTATTATATATTTTACCTATAGCCATCCTACTGTAATAGTTTCTTGAACACTGGGCATTCTTCCTGCTGTATATTTTTATGCATACATCAACCTCTACTTAGTCTCTCCCCTTCTAAAACTTTGTTAAGTCTTCTGTAAGAATCCATGAAGCATCCACCTCCCTAAGCCTTACAGCAATAATCACTTAAAATATTTTGAACACTAGTAATTGTGGTTATGGGTCTGGGCCTCAGCACGTGTGTATTTCTTTTCAGGATCCTCCCATGGCCGTAACCCTTGGACTCCGAATGGAGGAAATGATTTTTAACCTTGCTGATACACATTTGTTTTTTAATGACTTAGAGGTAAGCACTTTAAAAGGTAGGCGTAGTTGTTTACAACACTATAATACTTGCATGCGGGGCCGGGGAGATGGTTCAGTGGAATAAGTGCTTCCCTGGCAAGCACAAGGGCCTGAGTTCAATTCCTGGGTTCTGCAAAAAATAAAATAAAATAAAATACTTGCATGGTTCCATGTACTCAGGTAACCTTGAAAAAAACTGAAAGATAGAAACTGAGTTCAAGAGAACTATAACGTCCTTGCCTGGAGGAAACAATTACATCTACTAATATAAAGAGGAGCACATGAGTAATGTATTTGTGCAGGAAATGATTAAGAACAAAAATATTTTAGAAGAGCAGATGGTCAGCTTTGCTGTCCATTTGGAGACAGTGGTCCTGGGTCACCAGGGTTTCAACGCTAAACCCTTTTGTGCATTGAGCATCAGCATTTCCAGGTTTCCAGCCAGGAGACTTTCTAGGTTACTCATGAGACAATGTTCACAGGTATTCTTCATGGCAGTGGTGTGGACTATGGAATTTTGAAGATAGCCATGAACTTAGCTTTGGGCTACATTACCTTTCTTCACTTTCTCTGCTTCTGCATAAAACAGTGCTAGAGCTGTTGATAGAGCACTCTGATGAGTGTGAAAGAATTTGTTTCTTTTTACTCAACCTTATATCTTTGCCATTTCTAATCTGAACTGGCAGTGCAAACAAGAGAAAGAGAAAGCCAGTACAACAAAATGAAAAGGAATAAGAAAAGCTTGCCCAGGAATTGCTACATAGGTATCATGATAAGGAATATAATCTTATGCTAATGAACTCAATATCCAGACCATAAAAACTAAAATAGCTAAGTAGTTTGGGCCTAGGGCAGGAATACTTCATAGGAAACTGTAACTATCATGAAGTAAACTTTTTTTTTCTTTAAGTGACATATTTAAATTTACCAATCTCATGGTTTCTCATTGAAATAAAAGTACATATCTATAATCGCATTAAAAATGGAGAAGATGATTAGTATTACTGATCCAAAAATTGTTCTAGGTATTTTTTCTGGACTTGCTATTAATTACTTGACATGTTTTGAAATAAACATGTGCATTGCATTTTATTTGTAAAGCAGAACCTGCAGGACCCACCGTGTAAAAATCGTGTCCAAAGTTATCTGCTAGTTGTGCAGTAGAACTGGGATTTGGAAGAACATTTGGCACCATACTGCCTATTTCTGATCCCATACAATGTTGAAATTAAGATTGAACAAAAAAGTCAAGTGATTGACTTACATGATTCTTAAAATCATAAAGGTCTCAAATCCATATTTATATTTGAGATATGAGACTAAAAGCTAATGTTTCAGTGTAGTTCTTTAAATGTATTTTCAAAAAATCACCTGTAGTGTAACAATTTGTTTTTTCTGCGATGACTCAGTACTTTTATTGGATAATAAAATTACTGTGTAAAGATGTTTTATTTATTTTCTTTAATGGGGAGTATGAAAGATCACTATTACTAAGTGTGGCTTCCAGGTTTAGATGAGAAATGATAATTAAAATTTGATTTCATTAATCCTGCTAGTTATGTACAGAATGCCTTTATATATACTAGTTCATAAGAAACAAACTTGAACCTTCTAGGGAGTTCAGTGCTTTATATACAATATTTTATACACAATGATAAGGATTTAAGTTAATTTTCTGGTTATTTACATTAATAAATTTCAGCCTATAAAAGAGTCTAAGTTCGTTAGGCCTTTTAGGGCTTTAAAAGAAAATAAGAAACTTTGTATGTGGTTTTATCCAAGTTCTATAGTGTTTATCTCATTTGGATAGTTATTTTTCACTAGCAATATGCAAAATGAATGAACTTTTATTAGCATATTAGGAGATTGATATAATAAATATACTATACTCCTTTTAGCATAACATTAAAATGAGAAAGTGAAAGTAGCCTTGATGCATTTATAATATAGTGATTAGGGCTGGCAAGATAGCTCAGCTGACTAAGTGCCTGCTTAGGCAAGCAATGCGACCAGGGTTTGATCCCCCAGGGCATGCTGAGCTGGCCACCTAGACCAGGTGTGGCAGTGCATGCCTGTAATCCCAGTGCTGGGGAGGCTGAAAACAGGAGGATCACTACAAGTCTGAGCTACATAGTGAGACCTTGTACAAAATACACTAAATAAATAAACAAACAAATATACAATATAGTGGTCATCTCTCATATTTTAGGACTTTTTATTTTGAATTATATATTATTGTAAAGGTATTTTAAGATATGTGGAAGGGTTTCTGTTAATTGAAAATAATATTAATATTCACCTTCACATTGTCAGTTGTGTTTTAAAAATATGACAAAAATGCTGATTGACCTCAACCTTAAAGCTTAGCTATTCAGTGTGTCCCGATTAACAACCTGGTTGAGCGTGTGTGCAGATTGATTGAATGCTCACTACTCACACCTGTGCACACTTGTGCCCTTGCACATCCCAGATGAAATGCCCAAGGAAACTGGCTTCTTCACGCTAAGCTAATGAAATCTAAGCAGTAACATTTATGATCTTTCAGTTTATTTACACACATATTCACTGTCCCGAATCCATGTGAAAGTCGAGTTGGAAAGTTGACTATACTTTCATACATTGTCTTTATTATGTTTTCCAAAAACACTCTCTCAGCCTGAGTCCGCAGGCTCTATAACTAGAAATAAGTTATTCTGCTTCTGCTGAGGAAAGAATCCCTCAAGAGAGTAACTCCACCATTAGCTTATTGTGTTTTCCCCCCTTGTATATTTAATCACTCAGGATCTTTTTTATAGCCTAAAAATCTAATTTGAGACTCAAGTGCTACAACATATGCAGCAGCAGCTGCTCCTCTCGTAATTCCTTAAAAGTCACAAACCTAAATCCTGATAGACCTTTCCTGCATGCTACCCAACTGCAGAGGAGGCAACTGCTCACTCTGCCTGCCCCCAAGAAGAGAATCCTCTCTGCTTAAATAAAATGTTATTTCAGTTAGAATAACTTCCAGAAACAAAGGCGCCAGGGAGTTTGGGGTTACAAAAGTTAGAGGAAACCACCATGAATCATAACTGCAAAACATCAGTGACAATTCTGTACTTATTATGAGACAAAATTAAAACATACAAGATTAGCACCACAATTACTACAGATGCTGAGATCTTCCCCTAAAATTTGTTAAAACCAAAGACAATACTTTTTAGGATAGAGTCAAAATGACTCTCAAATAGTTCCTTAAGATGGGAGATTAATTGAAAAACAATCGTTTGGGTTTTCCTTAAAAAGTAAGTGAGTGAAATTCATTTCTTTCTCTGGACTGCAGTTCTTGGGCAAATGTCCAGAGTCAACAGGCAGATTTAACTAGGCATAAATTTAAAGAGAAGTTAGATTTGGAAAAACCTCAAACATAACTTCAAATTTGGAGTACATGGTCCAATAAGTTTGATATACTACTGTCCTCAGGAGTAAGAAAAAAATAAATTTTTGAATAACCTATATATAAATTAATCATCAGAATTAATACTTTGTCAGAAAAATTGCTTTAAAACTCAGAATGAGAATATTAAGCATAGAATTAACTTTTGATTATCAATATAATTAATAAGGCTTCTTCCCTCAATTTTTGATTATTGTTAGTTTGGCATAAAAGAAAGATGTAGAGTAGTAAAAGGTCTTAATATTTACTATTTTTTATTTATATGAGGAAGAATTTCAGAACTTTGATGGACATGGCAGTAGCGTTTCATACAATTTTGATAGTGATTCATATCAATCTACATATTCTCCAAGAATATCACCATTTCTGAATAAGAAATAATTATCATATAGAACTACTCTGTTTTCCCCATAATGTGAGAGAATTTATGTCCACTTTCATGCTAACTGGGAAAACCTCTCCATTTTGTCTGCTAAAACCCAGATGATACCACTGTTTATAGTTCTTTTACCTGAGATATTTCTGGAAACATGAAATTAATTCCATCAATTGCAATTTGACCTGAATTCATTTCAGTCAATTCTTGTTCAGAATGGGAAGAAAGTTTCTAAAAGCCTGTCCACCCACAACTCAGGAATCCTCAACTCTACCCTACTCTAGGACATCTCCAGGTACTCTTGATTATAATATCTTCTTAGAGTCTTCACCTAGAATATTATTATATATTACAGGACATTGTATTAGAAAACTTAAATGCTTGCAGTAATACTGCCAAGAATTATAATTCACCAGTCTTCTTCCATTTGTTTAAAAAAGAATTCTTGAGTAATTAGTTCTTCTTCGCCAGATTATTTCTTAGAAAGGGGTACATCCTGATGAGTGAAACGCCACCACCAGAGAACTTCTGGTTAGACTGAGTTTTCTGGATCTTTACCTGTGAATGTAGGTAGATTAATTAAAAATTTACTAAACCCATTATTCACGTAGCCCTTCTGAACACTTAAAAGTGTACCTGGGTTTTTGGGCTACACATCATAGTGTCCTGAAAAGGCTGGCCTTGAGTTGTGCATTTTTAAAGACACAGTCAATAACAACGTTTACAGGCTCTGTATGGAAAGCCAGAAACTAGATGTTGGATGTTTGGCTACTGACAACTCCAACTCCTGTAATGAATATGAATAACAGCTGAAAGCCTTTGTCTAGTCTGGAATGATTTCAAATTTAACAGATTTTTTAAAATGTATGTTAAATAATCAGCACTATATATAGTCAGAATCAATAACTATGACTTAAATAATTTGAGTAAGATACAAGAGGCCCAAAGGGTATGCTATACTTTTTCTGAAGTTATTTGTGTACATATTATAAATTGCAATAATTTATTAGTAACCGTGGGACTAGGTATTTTAAATGGCACAACCAAATATCACTATCAAATCATGTGATATCTCACTGGGACTCTTGAGGTGACTTGAAGGTGGAACAAGACCATCAGAACAGAAAAAGTGAATTGAATTTTTATCCAAAAGTTCTTATTTTCCCTGAGCACATTCTACCATAAAATCTGGTCAGTTTCCTGGAGATACCAACCTAAGTTTACTTTCCTGGGAGTTTGCAGCACTTTTGAAAGAGTATATCTCATTGTTCCCCTTTTATTTCTAACTGTTATTTTCATTTAAAATATTAAAAATCTCAGCAAAGGGAAATGGAAGCTTATAGTATATTACCTTTGTTTTGCGTTAAAAGACAAAGACATTTAAAATAATGTCCTTTGTCCTTCAGAAGAAGTAGAAAGGCACAGAAATCCCACAGGACAACATAGTCTGGAGTCCAGCCCTTCTGTTACTCATCATAAATAAGTAAATAATAATAACTACTTCAGGTGCTCAGTCCACAGGAATTTGTGTATATTCAGATGGGCATCCCTTAAATGTGCACAGCAGAAACGGTCAGAAGAAAGCCATACAATTGATTGCAAAGCTTTAAAAGAGAACTGTTAGAGGGGCTAGGGAGATGGCTCAGTGGAATAAAAGAGAACTGTTTTGTATATGATTTTAAGATTAGACTATTTTTTTGCTTCATTAAAGATTGAAGAAGTGATTTATAAATTGCTCAACAGACACCCACATGTCATGTGCAGATCCCGTGGATGTCACACTGTTGAGTTTCCATTTTAGAGAGCAGTACTGCTGTCATTTCACAGGGACTCTGCAGATTATTTGAAGGAGGAATAGCATCATTCGAGGAGCAAAGGCAATTGAAGCCTTATTATAATCCCAGATGCTCTAGGCGCGCTAATTTAAAATCAGGTCAATTGTGTGGTCCACTGACCCACAGTAAAAATGAAGTGGTGGGATGGATGGACAAATGCTGCCATCTTCTGGCAAAAGCCTGATCTCATGGACATGTGGAAACTTACAAGGCGACAAGCATCATTAGAAAACGAGTCACGTTTCCCATGTTTTTAACAGGAGTGCGATCAAGTTCACATAGATGATGTTTCCTCTGATGATAACGGGCAGGACTTAAGGTAAGCCATGGCTTTCAGTATGCTGTTTCCTACAGAAATTCAGCTATGGAGTTTTGCACCTGTAATTATTTCTTTTATTTCTTTTTAATGTATTTTGGGTGTTGCAGTACCTACAGTTTTGCAACTGATGGCTTCCATGCAGCTGCAAGTAGTGCAAACCTTTGTTTGCCAACAGGTGTAAGAGGAGGAGTGGACTGGATGAGGAAGTTGGCTTTTCGTTACAGAAGAGTAAAAGAGTTATATAACACCTACAAGAACAATGTCGGAGGTAGGTGTGGTTTATTTTATCTAACGGCAGCATCCTGAGTATGGGTAGAATTCATATGGTTTTATGTTAGAGATGCTCCTACTATAAGAAAATGATTCAGCAAAGCTCTTGCCAGAGAACATTGGCCCAGAATTTTTAGTTTCTTGGAACTGTTGGGGAAAATTTAACCATGGAATACAACACGCATGCCCAGCAGAGGAATTTGACATGGTGAGACTTAGTGCACAAGTACTGGCTCTAGATGCACAGAAAGGAACTTAATTAATTTTGTCGACTGGTAGTTGTGACATCAGTGTGAAAAATCAGACAGAAGACCTGATGGAGGCAGTAGAAAGCAGACCGTTCTAAAGAGCAAAGCCCTGGTCACTGAAACAGCCATGGGTGATCATTTCCTCTCTGTAACCCCTATCAGCATATATATAGACAGCGAATTATGTCACTTCCTAATCATTTAACAAGTCTGTATTATCTTTTTTAAAAACTTGCATGCTATTGAACTGTACACGTTTGCCACGTAAGAATACTGCTGAGATTGCCATGGTTCTTAAAAGTTCACATGCTCTGTAGACAATATCTAAATCATTTAATACTCATCCATAAATTTGATAGATCAGATCAAAACCTGTGCCATAGAAACTGTGATGTGGGATGTGTTTCTCGATATAATAAACTTGAGTGATCTCTATTATTAGGATCAATTTTAGGTCAAAAAGATTCCTTACATCAGTTACTAATCATGCAAAATGTCAGAGTGTTTTTTTCTTCAAAACTGAAGTATGTTTAAAAAGCAAAAACCTGATCCAAAGAGAATGATGCCACTCATCATAAGTGTGCACATTACAAATGTACACACTCACATATATGTCATAGATACAAAATATACATCATGCATCACATCCACCTTGTTTTTTTTATTTTTTAAATTTTAGGGAAGGGTCTACAGTGTGTTCAGGGTCTCACTACTAGATCAGAGTTATAGTGATCCACCTATTTACAGCCTCCCAAGAGTTGGGATTACAGGCGTGTGCCACCATGCCCAGTCTTAATTGCCTTCTCAGCACGCCCCAGGTACAGGGCCAGCACTGCAAGCCAGTGGATTTAACCCCCGGACCCCTGTGCCTACTTGCAGGTGCTTTAATCCACTGAGCTATTTGGCCAGCCCAACCTTATACATTCTTAGGTTGAGCTGTGTGTCAGGTCACCTTGTGTCTGCCTAGTATTGAAGCAGTTAAAAGATGCTTGATATATAATAACTATAAGAAATCAAAAAGTTACAATTGTAGACAATATGAATGTAGACAATTAGAACTAAAAGGAAGTAGACAATTGTAGACAATTAGAACTAAAAGGAAGTTGGCCTCTATGGAAGTGGCAGAGCACTGCCTTGTCCAAGGGTCTAGAGGAAAACTCTCTCCTAACTCAATCTAATGCCATTTCTAAGACACTCTCATGAAATCAGATGACTAACTTTCAAGTTCAAAAAAATCAATCACCAATGTATGTTTAACTTCAAAATTGATGCCTTTTCTAGAAAGCAGAAAATACTTATCATTCACATATCATTATTTCTTTGTTGTGCAGCATTATTTAAATCATAATGAATTCAACAATTAAGAAGTAGTTAATGGCTAAGAAATAGTCCTGTTTTTTAATTTTTATTGAGAAACAAATAGCAATGAAACAATTTCAAAACCAATTAATAGGACAGTTTCAATAATTAATACGTTGCATATTGTTGGCTTCTTAGTGGTTATTCATAGTACAAGAGGCAGACATGATATCCTGTCCAAACACTATTAGTACAAATCTTTCTTCTCATTGAATTAAGAGAAAGTAGCTGTATATCTATCCTAACTATTTTGAATATACAGATACAAAATGGTCCTCCATTTGTATCCCCTTTTTTGTTCAGTTTTGTCAGAGGTGGCTATTCCATTGCCATTTAAATATTGTAGGTGCATGAATTCAGCAAAATAATCCAATACACTCCAATAGTCCATAATAGTAGTGGGTTATCCATAGGACTCGCAATGTTCGAAGTTGTTGACTTAAGCCCTTTACAGCTCAGCATATTAATATGGCTTTACTTTTCATACTTCATTATTATATTTTTCTGCTGGATGGTTAAGACCAAGATAAAGCAAGACATATATAATGAGAAATGTAACTTTTCTATCTGACAAGGTCAGTCAGATTCCCTCAGGATTTAACCTGAAACCTTGTACTTCAGTTTGCAGATCCTTTGTCAGTGTCAGCCATGTGGATAAGTCATGGCCATTGCTTGACCAATTTTCTCTCTGTGAAAGGCTGAGAGAATGTCTTTTCTCCATGTGACTCTCCTTAAGTCCTGTTTCTTAAAAAGCTTACGCAACCATGTAAGAGTTTATTTTCTCTCATACATCAGCAACTCTGTATGAAATGAGAAGAGTTGCTAGAAAATATAAATTACACCTTAAAACATCATCTACATGTATATGTACACCCACTATTCTGAAACACATTTCAAGGAAGAAAGCTTCCTTTCCATTGGATTCATTTCATCTTGTTTAACCAGGAAAGCAAAAGTGGTATGTTCTTAAATTAAAACTTAGTATGGCTATTTCTCTTATCATATCTATTTAACTTTTCATCATTGCCTACAACTGTCTGGCACTTGAACGCTTCTCATTTTTTTTTTTTTTTTTTGAGTACCAGGGATCAAATTTAGAACCTTGTATTTGCCACGCAGGCACTTATGCCACTGAGCTATCTCCCTGGCCCTACACTTCTCATTTTTATAAAAAAATCTGCTTTTATTTTGATATCCAATTTATTTATTATTAATTTTTTGAGAAACAAATAGCAATGAGACAGTTGCAAAACTGATTAGTAGGACAGTTTCAATAATTAATACATTGCTTATTATTATCTTTGTAGTGGTTATTCATAGTACAAGATGAAGATATGATATCCTGTCCGAACACTATTAGCACAAATCTTTCTTCTCATTGAATGAAGAGAAAGTAGCTATATATCTATACTAACTATTTTGTGTATGCAGATACAAAATGGTCCTTCATTTGTATTTCCCTTTTTTAAAACAAAGTATCTATAGTAGTACTGGTTTTGGAAGCATTCCATAGTTACATATGCTAAGGCCTTCTCTGGCTGGTTCAGGGTAGATATTATTGTGATTAGTAAGAGGAACAACATTTCAGGCAGCCACAGCGGGTACTTTGTGTTCCTAGGCTGGTTGAGCTCCGTTATGCCTCTACACTTACTGCACTTTAGCATCTTGGAGTAAGACCCAGGTCTGGAAGTTGTAAAGTGACTGTTGATTCCACCAGATTCTAGGCTTTGTGACAGAATCCCTGGAACGACTTTTTCACTGTTATGCTGCTGTGTTCCTCAAGCTTAGCTCAGCACCTGGCCCTTAGAATTTGTTCAGTGTGGATCTGTTGAGTGAAAAATGGGTACTCATGTCTAGAATGAGGGCTCAATGTCAGTCTGTCTGCGTCTCTCTCCATTTCTGTCTACACTGAAATAAAAGGTGTCTATACCAACAGAAATAACACAGAGCTAAATGTCCCGGAGAAAACCCTCCACTCCTGACCCTCCTTTCTCTTTGGTCTTGCAGGACTCCTTGGCCCTGCAAAGAGGGACGCCTGGCTGCAGTTGAGGGCAGAGATTGAAGGCCTGACAGATTCCTGGCTCACAAATGCACTTAAATCTTTATCAATTATTAGCACTAGGTAAGTGGGGGTCGTGGCCCTCTCTACACCAAGTGTACGGAAGTTGTAGGTCAATACAACAGAGATGAAATATTTTAATTCTTAAGCAATTAAAAGTTTGAAAAGACTTAGCAATTCACTGAGTTCATTTATTTTCTTTCTCGCTCTCTCTCTCTGTGTGGTGGGTGTGTGTGCGCGCACACACACACACGCAGTACGTTTTGATGCTGCTGCTTCTCAGAATAACCAGCTTATGTCTTTCTACCCATCATGCATCTTAACTACTGATAATCCCCACAAAAAAGTCACATGGCTTCTAAAAAAAAAAGAAAACAGCATCACATTAATGGCAAAGTACAGGGATGATAGAAAAGAATAAAACAGATTGTTTTATACTAGGAATATTTATTTTGTCTGTTTGACTTAATAGATAATATGCATAATTTAAGTGCACTTGAAAACCAAGAACAAAATTTTTAGAAGTTTCTAAATTTTATGTATCTGAACTAAACAGTGATATACTTATTTGGTAGAATAAATAATAGAATCAAATGGATTTGCAAGTTGTTAAAAAAAACTATGCCATAAATGCTAATTCATAAAGTCATATAAATCCTTAATACAAAATAATATAAAAGTAATAGGTAATAAGCAGAACTAATCTTTGTACTTTCTTATTCTGTAGTTTTATTTTTGAATTAGATGAGTAAGTGAAGGCACGCTTAACAAACGAATAACGGGATAGTGCTGAAAAAGGGACGCTATTTGCACTAATTGAGCAAGGTGATATAGAAAAGCTGGCAGAGTGAAAGGAGAGTCCGGTAGGGAGAGCCTGAAAGGGCGTGTGACAGGCCTGGCATGCAGCTTCCGGCCGGTGACGAGAGCAAGAAGGATGCTGATAACAGCAAGTGCAAGCGAAGGAAGATTGGTGCACAGCGTCGTGTTCTGTCGAGCAAGCCCCGCAGAGAGCGCTGCCCGGTGCTGGTCGCCGCGTCCTCGCTGGAGCTGGGACAGAGCGGAAGCCTCCTCTGTCTGGCAAGGGAGACACAGGGATTTGGGTAGAGAGCTGGCAGTACCAGAGAGTTCAGTCTGAAGAAGAGTCCTCCACGAAGTCGATCATTAATTTCACCTGTTGAGATGTCAGGCTGCGAATGAACTAACTGGGCGCCCCTCGGTCCTTAAAGGCGAGATTTAGGATGAGTGAGCAGGAGCCCGAGGAAGGACGCGCTAATTCCACCTGAGGAACTGACAAATAAGGACGTTAGAAAGCAGAACCTGCTGCCAAGGGATTTTCTTGACTAGTACCATGGAGGCCAAAAGTGAAAAAACTGGGACCTAGAGCCCCCAGCATTGCGTCTAACTGGTACTGGAAAGTGTCTGTCCCTGAGGAAGAGGCCAACATCCTTCATTATTTCTATAAAGAGATTTTGTAGTAAAACAAAAAACAGAGATTATGTTATTGTACGAAGGAAATATGTATTATGTAATATCAATATTTTTATTATTAAATAGATGGCCTCAGGACAACTATAGGAACAAGTGATTTAAAATACTAAACTCAGGGCTGGCCAAATAGCTCAGTGTATTAAAGTGCCTGCAAGCGGATGAAGGGGCCGGTGATTCAATCCCCAGCCTGCCGTGCAGGCCCCACCCTAGGGGCGCGCTGAGATGGCAATTGAGATTGGGCATGGTGGCGCAAGCCTGTAATCCCAGCTCTTGGGAAGCTGTAAACAAGCGGATCACTAGGAGTCCGATCTAGTAGTGAGACCCTGAACACCCTGTAGACCCTTCCCTGAAATACAAAAATAAGATGAAATAAAGTACCAAACTCATAACAAGAAAGGGACTATATAAGAATGTCAATATATATTGAATAGTTAAATATTATGAAATTTGCTAAGTGATTCATGTATATTATCATATTGATGGTTTTTACAAAATGAATACAAGGTCTAAAAATAAACCCTGTGTTGAACTACGTATCAGAGGCTAAGTTAAATTAGCTGGTGATGTTAATTCTACTACTGTGAATTATACTCAGGGCATAATCCAAGGTATAGAAAAAAGTGGAATAGCATTATTTATAATACTGAGTCAACAAAAGCCAGCCGTTCACCTAAACTGAGACTTAAAGGGATGGTTTATCCACCAATCAAGTTTGTATACATTTGACTTGAAGACAAATAATTATAGATAATATGTAAGCTAATAGGTTCATGATAAACAAAATGAAAGGAAGAACTCAAGGAAGGAAGGGAGAACAGGAGATAAAAAGAGAAATGATACAAAATTCCATGTATAATATGTCCCTAATGGGGGAAAAACATAGGAACAGAAATACTGACTATTTATAACAAATGTGTAGTTATCTCTGAATACCTAATAAATGATTGATGCTTTTTCTTTTATTTGTCTCTTTTCTGCTATTTTTGTTATAGACAGCGTACATAATTTAGAAAAGACATGATACCAAAAGAGTTGGTAACTCTAAATGTCACGCAGTGAAAGTTGTCAAACTTTATTTTGAGACCACTCATTTTATTCAAACAAGTTTTCATTCTGTAACATTTATCTACATGGGACTTTGAGTACCATTTTGTTTTGACAAAAGCACTACAGTCAATTACTAAGAATATTGAACAAAACATGATGACATTGCGAGAAAGTTAAAAGTACTCTTGGCATGGCTCTGGGGTCTCATGTAGATTCATAAAGCCTGGATAACCTTGTCATAATATTGTCATGGTTTGCTCATCATTATTAACCTGCCATATTTGACAAATGTCTGTCTGTTGATGCGGTGACTTTCACACACTGAACAGGACCATTTTTATAGACTTTAAAGACAAGAAATTTTAAGATTGTGCTATTGAAATTTGTTTATTGGAAAACAGTTTTAAATTTTGTGCTGGTAGAAGTTATTTTGTCTAGGAAAACACCCACCCATATGTATGTTTCCTCTCTATTTCAGGAGTAACTGTGTAAATGTCTTGGTCACAACAACCCAACTGATCCCAGCACTTGCAAAGGTTCTACTCTATAGCTTAGGCGGTGCTTTCCCCATTGAAAATATTTACAGTGCAACTAAAATAGGTAAGGAAGCTACTGTACAACCTGGATAGAGTATACTCAATTCATGTTCAGAGAATTTTTTTAATATATGCCTTTGCTTAGTCCCCTTTTCTTTGAGATTTTGCTATTAGAACATCAAATAAAATTGGGTAAAGTTCAAATAAGAATCCTCTGTAACTCACAGCGCATGTGCAAAAATTTCAAGACTGGTTGGCCAATGGAATCCTGAACTCATCAGGGTAATCCTGACTCATGCTTGCAGCACAGATTATATAAGGGATATTCAGTCTTGCCAGCCATGATGTTTAACAGTTCAATTAATGCAGTACTGAATCCTTCATGTGAAGGAATCTTTATGATAAAAGGATAGTTTTGGTATTTCCAGGGAGTCATGCATAGATTCAATTAACATCCAGGAAAAAATAAAATTTTCTTGAGTCAGAAAATATAATCAAGCTTTGCACAGAGGCAGTATTGTGGCCAAGATGCACAGTGCTCATATCAGAGATGTAGTTATTGCTAACTGAGAAATCTTAATTGAAATATTCATAAGAAATAAATGGCTGGAATCTGCGTTTCCAAAAGATGCTCAGTAACAACCAAAGCACTACAACCTTGCTCACTTATTTTGATAATTATCTTTAAGTGGATTTCTGCATACTCGGGCTTCTAATAAACACTCAAAAGCAAAATTCCTTCAAACTCTGCCATCTTGAAAGAGTTAAAGAAAACAACACATGTATTCCACTGCCTGTCAAGGAAATGCCTGGGAAAATTAATGGGTTCTGCAATGTGCCCTGAAGGTCAACAAACTTAGGCTTTGGCACCTTGACAAGAGAAGTTCAAAATCCTAAAATCTCCCACCAAAAATAGCCTGCCCTGGGCCTTGCGGAAGAGTGACACTGGCACTGGCAAAGGGAGCCCCCAGTTGCAGCTGTTTCCGGAGGACAGTTGATGACAGCCAAGCTTCGTGCATTAAATGCCACATTGTCTTATGCACTGCATCTCAGAAGCAGATCCTAATTTCTTACATTTAAAAAAAATAAATGTGTACATACGGGCTGGCAGAATTCATGTTTACAAGGTGATCTTGCTTTTTGACAATTCAAGTAATTATATACCATATAACAGTATACACATTTCTTTTGTTTACAGACAACATTCTTTTTATATTGGTCAAAGTGTTTTTTTTAATATTTAATTAGAAAAACATCATTTTTTTTCCTTTTCATATTATATTTTGAAGATGTGTAACCAAACCAGTTGTGGCTGCACAAATGATTCTGGGAATGAAGGCCAGAGAATAATGCATTTATTTTGAAAACAAAGAACATGTAGGGTCTCCTTCATGGTATTCTCTTGTATGGCCAAAGCATACTGGTATTTTCCATACTGTGGCCCAACTGGAAAGTACCCTTAGTGTAATTGATTTGAAAATATTAATCCCATCCATATGAAGAAAGGAATTGTTTATCCAGGTAAAACTATATCTTAGTATGTATTTCCTTGGAGGTGAACCTTCACTTTTCCCTGATACGTTCAGCTGATTTTGTCGACGCTATTTAAGATAAATTTACCACAATCAATTTATAGGATTAAACAATCACATGCTATCCAGTACGATTTTACTAGAGTAAAGCCTACTAACAATTTTTGTAAGTCAAATGTGTTTCTCATTGATGTTATTTAAGCATGAAACATACTTGTTTCATATCTGCCCTTAGTAAAACTCATGCTATTCAGATGTGTTTGTTGAGTTCATAAACCCAGAGGTGAAAAGCTAGCTCATGCTTTTCAAGAGATGTGAACGTAACACATTATGAATCTTGACACTGATAAATGCAATGGCTGGAAGAATAAGCAGTGCATTGTTTTTCAGGCAAGGAAAGCTGTTTTGAGCGTATAGTGTCCAGATTTGGCACTAACATAACTTATGTTGTGATTGGAGATGGCCGAGATGAGGAGCATGCCGCTAACCAGGTAACTTCACTCTGAACTTTATCTCATTTATCTTCCAGGAAAAGAAAGTTGCTTTGAACGAATAATGCAAAGGTTTGGCAGAAAAGTAGTATATGTTGTAATTGGGGATGGTGTAGAAGAAGAACAGGCAGCAAAAAAGGTAACCTGTCTCAAAACAATGTTGGTGTGATACTCCTAATGCAAGCCTTTTCGTTTGCATTCCCATAGTTTGGCCCAGTGGCAGCTTGACAAGTGATTTAAATTTATGGTTGCAAAGCAGAAAGAGCATGAGAGGGTCCGCACCTACATCCAAGCAAACCATTTGGAGTCTAGCGCTTTTTGCCTGAAATTTGATAGGAAATTGAGGAAAAATTGTTATATTTACTTGTGTGTATTATAAATATATATAACATCATTCACTATATCAGTGAATGGAGAGATAGACAACTCAATGGTCTGTAAGGAAAGTGGAGGAAAAACTACTGTTAAGCACATGACATTTAACAAGAAAGGGACATTTCATGAGCTCATGCAAAAACCACATGAGTGGCTTAGGAGTCACACCCGCTGTGTGGTCCTTATAATTGCCTAGATGTAGGCATGTTCCATGATGAGAAATGCTGTGCGTATGTTTAATAGCTGAAGGAAAAGCTGTTGAAAGAGGTTTTCACAGGCCCATCGGATCTTCTTGTGCCAGCGTGTCTCAGATCTTCCATACAAGTCTCTTGTGTTTCTGTGAGCCAGAGCCATAGGTACTTGACTGAAGCCAAGCAGCTGGCTCGGAAGACACTCAGGTGATCTCAGGCCCTACATATGTATATAATACTTTTAAAGTCTGGTCCATATTTCTGAAGAAAAATCTAAGACACTTAAAAACCATTAAGTGGTAAGTTCAACACTAGTAGAAGAATGATAACAAGATTGGTCTCCCACACTGCAAGATGATCAAACAACACAGCTGGGCTTTCTGGATTCCTCCACTGAAATATAATAAAATAATATCTGTCCAAGATAACATGATAAAGCAGAGCAAAATGACGTAGTATTTTCAAACAATGACATATCACTTTACTTTGTTTCTAATAGAAAGAATGCCACCCTCAGTAGAATGAAGCAATGTAAATCATCATGTAATAAAGTTTTCACCAAATGTGCATTTTCTGGAATTTTTGTCTAAAATCTGTTTTTAAAAAATATGTCACAGTTTCATAGAAAAGTTTACAACTATAATATGAAAAGAAAGGAAATGATTTATCTTTCTGGTAAATTCAGATCAAGCAAAATGAAGGAAGAAAATATGCATCTGCTTTAGAAAGTTTAGGAGCTGTGCTGGCAGTCACACCGGACACTACCCATGTTTTTCCCTCTGATTAAGAGAGCTGGTGACACAGAAAACCCTGGGTGTTAATTATCAGCATCAGTGACTCAAAACAGCATGCTGGCCCCAAGGATGCTCCGAGTGGTCAGGGCTGCAGCCTCAGGAAAGCCAGCCTGCATTCCTGACCCCTTCTGGAGATGTTCACAGGCATATTCCCTGGAAACTTCCTCTGCAACTCATCAGTCCTGAGACCTAGATGTTTTGATTTTCCATATAGCCACCATAACTGCACACAACAAATAGCGGGTTCTCCATGCAACCGCACCATTGCACAACTTTCAGCCTATGAGAAATCCCTGTATATCCAGGAGAGGCAAGTAAAATTTGCTTCCCCAACAACAGCATGTGGCTCTGAAGATGAAAACTAATTAAGTCTACTGTAGATATCCAAAGTGTGGAAGCCAATCTAATGTTATACCTTCTGCTTTACACTAATGCTTCAGGAGAAAAAGGCTGACTCCAAATGGATAAAAGTCTCTGTTAGAATGCCATTTTCAGATAGTAACTTATGTAGGTGCAGTTTTGGTGATGGTGAAGGCTTATAATTCTATTTGGAAATACAGGTGGTTGGTTTCCCTGTTGTCTAGAATGCATGCTTTTCTTTGAATGTAGCAGTAATTGCATGTGGAAAAATACTGAACAATGTTTTGGTATCACAAATAGATCTGAGCTGAATGAACAGAAGGGTGCTTCAATGTAAATTTCCATGCTGTGCTTTAATTTGACCTAAACTTAAGAAAACATATCAAGTTTAGGAATTTCTATTATGGGACTATGTATTAGGAGATGTGTGTGTAGTTTTTAAAATTTTCTAAGAGTCACGTTAACTAAAAGAAATGAAAGATAGGATTAATTTTAATGCATTTTCTTTGGCCCATGTAGCCAAAATATTACATCTTGACACAAAATTAATATAAATTTATTGTGATGGCTATATTCTTTTGCTGTTACTGTTTTAAGATTTTTGACATTCAGACTGTATTATAAACTGGATTAAGTATATTTCAAGTGCTTGTTAGCCACATATAGCAATAACAATCATGATGCTTCATTTTTCAATAAAATTTCTTATTCCTAATATATATTTCCATTATATATGAAAATATTCAATATGTATATGTTCTAGAAGATTTCGTGTAAGCCCAGATTTACGCATAGCACATTTGTTTTGTCAGTTGCTATAGTGCAGGGTTTTCTTTTTTATTATCATTCCCAATGGGATCTTTTTAGACAGATTTTCTCATCACCCCATCTATGAATTTTTTATGCCATAAAAATATACTGGATACCGATATATCTCTGGAGGACCACAAACTATTGCAATGTCTAAGGTTTTTTTAATTTTTTTACCGCCCAAGAAGCCAATTTTATACTCAAGTGGATGATAGCTCTCCTATTGAAAATCCATGCCAGAGTACTGTCTCTAAATTCCATGCCAGTGAAATAAATCAGAACAACTCTACTGGCTTACGTTATTGGTTAGAGCAGACAATTAGGAAAGTTATCATTCCCACAAGTTTTTCCTGCTTGATATAACACAGCTTCAAGGTTTTCTTTTCTCTGGAGGAGAGAATTCATTCTCCTTACACAGACAAGACATCTTGTGCTTAGGACCTTTATGGGTTTGTTTGTCTCTGAAAGGTGGAGAGTTGTACTGATGAAAACTTGCTTTCCATAAGCTAGAGAGGGTTTTCCTCCCTACAGGCTTTCCCAGGTGCTGATGTTAATAGTAAGATTTGTGCAGAGTAAAGATTAAACTGCCCACAAACGTCTCAGTATTTGCTTTGATATCATTAAAATCCAGTTCAGATCTATTTTTCTGTGGTCATAACCGTGCTATGTTGGTGCTGCAAAATGTTCAAATGTGTTTTTCCCTCCACTAAACTTTCTCCCTTGAACCTGGGTGGACGGAACGTCCTTGTGTGTGCTGGCGCTTCTGTGGGACGATCGCTATGACCTCTCTCCATTCTTCATCTCGCCCCTCCTCTCCCCCAACCCTTCCTCTCTGTTAATCACACAGCACAACATGCCCTTTTGGAGGATATCAAGTCACTCGGACCTCTTGGCTCTACATCAAGCACTGGAATTAGAGTATTTGTAACTGTGTTCTCTAGCTGGAGATCCACTTTTTTATATTTCAAGTACACTGAATTTTTATGTGTGATTCAATGCCTCTGGCTCTACACATATAAATTGTCTTAAAGGATGAAATCATACTTGGAATGAGAATTCCGGAATGAAGAATTCAGATTACTGAATGGAATTAAACTTTAGTGCTACAGAAAGGAAACTCTATGGTCTTATATTTACAACACGGTAATGGTTTAAAAAATCTATGGAGGTTGCTGGTGCACATGGAATGAGTCCCAACTGGAATGAACAGCTTTAGCAAAGAACTCTCAAGCCTCCCACACAGCAACACCTGAGCTCCGTGTGACAAGGTGATCAACAACATTCCTCAAAATGGGAGACGCTCTCAGCCCTGAGGTTTGAATATGACTTTAGCCTACCTAGCCCAGAAAATCTGAATTGGAATGCACTCAGACTTATAAGGACAGTCTTCTCTAGACCTGTAATTTGTGTAAATTATTGATGAAAATAATTTACTGAGACTTTATTAGCAGCTGACTTTGAAAGTGGATGCAATTTTTCTTTCATTTGGTGGGGAGGGGAGAGGGAAGGGAGATGGGAATATAATATTGTCTCTTTTTTAAGTTTGGCAAACAGAATGTTCATACTGACGTGTTGTGCCTTAAAGACAAGACAGCATTTGTGTGTTACCATGTAACTTTGGTTTAAAAAAAAACCTCTGTAGATAAAAAAAAGCAAAAAAAAAAATTGTAATAATTCTTAACATGACCAAATTTAAAATTAAAGCTATCAAAGTTTATTACTATATAAAAAAGAAACCAAGTATTTGTTGCAAAAAAAACCCTATCAGTAGCAATAAAGTGAAGCTTATATTGTATTTGGGTTCTTAATAATTCCAGTAATTGTATGAGGCAACTCTCTGTGCATCCAGCCATACAGAGAAGGTTTGGGAGAAACGGGACCTTTACTTGGAAAGCAAAATTTACACAGAAGTCTCAAGGATCCTTTCTACAGTTCTACTGAAGAAAGCCTAAGAGCCATATTCTTGACAAGTTGCAGTTTTGAGTTTGAGACTTTTGATTTATAAATTGTCTAGAGAAGTACCTGACTATGAAAATTATTTCCAGTCATCAATCAAATATCTTTAGAATATGCTGTAGACATAACTTCAAATTTACACTGAGTGAATATGCCTTAAATATAATACAACTAAGTACATTTATTCCCAATGCCACTTGAGAAAGGGAAGTATCCCCAGTCATGAAAGGTGGGTGCACCAGATAACTTCCAAGGAATGAAGTGAGTCTATAAAAATTTCACCCAGAATATCACCATAAACTGAATTAGCAAGTGAGCCAGATTTTGGCAGCTTCATCAAATGACAACATTGAAATAGTACTGGTTCCCTGTCTTAACACATCCATCCAAGGTCTCCACATTACAGACTTGGATGTGTTGGGTTTTGCCCGTACTGTTACTGAACAACAGAGTGCTTTCATTGCAAGGAGGACCTGTTATTGTTGTGTTTGCATGTTGTTTTCTTCATTGATATGTAGCCCGTGTTGGAAACATGGTACAGGTTTTCCTGTCATTTTTTATGACATGATTTCCCTTGTAGAAATTTTAAGACTTTGAGATCTAAAGTATTCTAGGGGCTTCTGCACATGCAGCTGTGCATTGAAAATAGCACGATGTGAGTGCTGGAGAGTCCAGCTAGGAGTCGGGGTCTCTAACTAGAGGTTGGTTCACAATGGGCCATCAACAGAGGCTTCTGAGTTCTAGATGAGGTCACTTCTTGGCTCCTAGGTCACTACATGCACTATGGAGAGACAGTTTTATTTGGTTAGACCCTAAACCTGCATTTCTTCATTGACTTCTGAGGCCACGTTTATGATGGGCAGACAGGTAATGAGATCTCAATTGCCTATATTCATCAGATAAACTTTGCACTTTCAATGGGGCTGCCCTTACCCCAAGTACTACAGCAAGCAAATTATGGTTGGAATCTTTTTATAATACTATTACTCAAACAATAATACATTGTATACTTCTGTTGACCTCTACTTTGAAAATAGCAATTAGAAAAATTAAAGAGTTGGAATTGATTCTCAGTACTTTTACATGCTAAGATCTGTAATACTTATCATCATGAATAAAACAAGCTATTTTTGCTTTATAGCCAGCTTCTTTAAAACACAGAACTATGGCACTATGTCTAAATTCTTGATTCAATTTTTATACCAAGGAAGCAAGTCCTCCTGTGTTGCTAAAGGTTCAGGTACCTAAAGAACCAACACAAAGCTGCCTAATAGGCTCTAGCCTCTCCCAGTGCTGTTTTACACACACACGCACGCACACACACACACACACACACACACACACAAACTTGAACCTAACATTGGCATAGAACAGCTTGGGAGACCCCAGTAAACCACGGCGGGCACAGCATGGTCACATGACGTGAGTGTGCTAAAAGTAGAGCCCTGTTCTGCCCATGTTAGGAAAAGGAAGTCCTCTTTGTTGCTGGTCAGAAGAACAAAACAAACCAGCAAATAAAAAACTAGCTCTTTGCCAGTTCTATTTACACGTGGAATATTGTGCCTTATTGTAAACTAGTTTGAAACATCCTCTGTAACTAAAATGGATTTTTGACTATTAAATATATAAAGTTGATCTGTTACTCAGAAAGATAACCACCTTCTGTTGCACCTTAAAATATTTCAAGGCTGTGTAATCTTAGTAACAAAATAGGCGGCCTGGCTATGACGTTATAGAATAGGACAAAGGCACTATATCCCTGAAAAATGTATACATCAAATTCAGAGGCAAAATATTTTAGAATCGCATAGTTTATTCACAAAGAAATGAATAACTGTCCCTAAAAATGTTGTTTTTTTTTCATCTCTGGTCAGCTAAGATTCAAAATAATATCAACAGCATGCTCCACAATGAAGTTGTTTTTATAAAGCACATTTGTCTGTGACACGCCTACATTCTCAGTGAATGTGGCATTTAGTATTTCTTTTAAAACAAACTTAAGCATGAGGAGCCAACGTTTCATTTTGACTCCCAACTATGATAGCATTCTGGAAATCTCCAGTCAAAGTCAAGGTATTCTGTTATGTATTAGTAAAGTATAGATTATTGGGGCCTACATAATTTAAAGAAATGTAAATTAATATTAAAAGCTTGTAAAAATATGTACATCTTTACTATTTCTCAATAAATACCTTTGCAAATGTTTCTGTTTTCTTCACCCTTCCATTTGGTAGAGGATGTGTATATTTAGTATGATGCTAAACCATGTACATTTTTTATTTACGTCTCTTGATGTATGTAGTTGTTCCTGCCTGTGCCTATATTGCACAATTTGTGATTGAGACAACTTGGATATAACACAGTAAAATGTTTCTAACTCTTTAAAGTGGCTGGTTTACTAAGGAGATATGGGTTGTATAGATTTTTGCATATAGGTGGTTTTATTTGAGTAGAAAGCATATTGTAGCCACAGTTCATTAAAGTGTTCCCTGTAGGTGAACGGACTGTTATAAGATATGAATTATAGTTTACAAGAGTCTTTCAAGAGAATAAAGGAGTATTTTTCTGAAATGGACTTAGCTGCTCCTTTATCATCTTGTGTATAGTATTGCTTTTCTTTGTAAATCTGTTGTTCGCATGCAAATCAGAGGCAAATGTCAAAGCAACTTCTGCTCATTTGCAGCATTTTTAAAATCTACCCTCCAAATTAGCAAACTTCGAGTGGAAATATGTGAGAGTATTCTGATGAGCAAAGAGCCTTATGCCCTACCAAAATTACCGAGGGTTGACAAGAATACAAGAAGTACACTTAAACTGACCAAACTTTATATCCTCTTTCATCTGTCTACCTTTGAGCTTGAGTTCCTGAGGAAGATTAAATTTCGTGTGTCACATTCCAGTCCTCCCCTGCACTCCAATCAGGTGTATTCCCATCTTTATTTGGTTCACCTGTTTAGAAGAAAGATCCTCTCCAAGCACAGTGTCCAACCAGGGCTTCTGCTTCTGTCTGTTTACAGTGCGTGTCTCCCAGGCAGTCACTGTCATCTTTTCCCACCTCGATCACGACACAAGGCTCTAGCTGGTGTCCTGCAGTGGCCCTCACACCCCATAGTCAGTGTATCTCAGCGCAGGAACCAGGTTGAGCCTGAGATGCTGTCCCTCCTCTTTCCCAGAAACCCAACCCAGCACAATGGCATCTGGTCATACAGTGTAAACTGTGGAAGGCCTCTGAGAAGGACCTCGGGATCGTAAGCTGCACCTCACCATGTGCGTCTGTTTTATTTTGGTAGTTGCACACTGCCAAACAGGCACCTTTGCATCTATGGTACCCACCTGCACCCACCTACTGCAGGGCACCATCATTTGCTACTCATTCTGTAGGAGAAGGCTTCCATTCCACCGTCTGCAGCACTTGTACTCTGAGTTTCCTCCGGGTCTTTACTCAAAGGCCTCCTTGGATCTGAATGGGTCTCTCTCTATAAAATTACACGAACTTTCTTGGAACTCCCCATAGCTCTACTTTACCATTGGACTATACTGAATCCTCAGGTTTCTCTAACATATTGTGTGCCATCATTTATCATATATGGCTCTCCTGTGACAAATGTGCTCTGTGAAGACATAGGTTTGTTTTGCTCGATTCATTTCTGCATAGCCACTGTTTACAGAAGTGCCTGACATATAGTAGGCACTCAGAGTATTTATTGAATGAATGCTTAAGCCATAGGAGAACATGTATATGATCATGAGTAAGGGTGAAAGAGACTTGCACTGATAGAGCTACGTTGCTGGTGGGCAAAAACAAAACACACAGGTAAGTTTGGATAAAAATGATGCACGTTATTACAACTTACTTGTTTGTTGATCTACTAATTTATGAAAAACAAGAGCAAGGAGAGAAATAAACAAATATGTGCTTGGAGAAGGGTTATTTATCACCTGAGAATGCAGTGCTGGATAAAAGTCCAGATGATGAAGCGACGGCATCCTTACCTCTCTTTTTTATTTTAAAAAGTATGCATTATCAGTAGATTTAGTGACTTAAGTTAAGGTCACAAAAATATCATGTAAAAAGCACATCTGTCTGTAAGCTCTACGATTCATGCTTTTGGGTCCCTGAAATTAAAAAAAAAAGAATTATTTCTCTTCATTAACAAGATATAGCTATTATTTAATATCTGTGCATATTTTTATATTTAAGAAAAAAAGTTATTTGACATCCTCCTATAACTGCTCTAATACACAAGCCAATACTTAAGTCTGTCTTAACAGGGTCAGAGTTAACTCTTGGAGTCCACTGTGGCCTGGAGGGTGCTTCCTCAGAACAGCAAGAGGAGGAGAATGTTCACTGTGCCCAAGTTCTAACTTCAAATGAGAAGGCTCACCATGACTAGTGCAAGTTTACCCAGAGCTCTCCAGGGATCACGTTAGCACACATTATATTTTAAAAAACGATCAAATATAATATGCTAAGGAGTCACTGACAATCAGATTACTCTATACAAGCCAGATAGTTTTGTGCCTGAAACTTATCTTGGAGACATCTTCCCAACACTGTCTCTGTGACTGTCTTATGCCGTCTTGGTATCTTCTTTTATGTATAGCAGCTGCTATTATGAAGTCACTTGAATTCTCAGCGGAGCCTTCAGTGGAAAGGATGGTGTGTGGATCAGAGGAAGCACCTAGTAAATCTCTACGGCAGCACCGCCGAGAGGGAGGGCTTCAGTCGAGGCACAGCTGCACGGCAAATTGCTTGTGGAGGCGCCGAGCCAGCCTTTAGACAGAAGAGTCCTTGAGATCATGATTCCCACACTGCACCTTGAAGAACAAGAGGAAAAACGTCACAGCAAGGGGACAGGGCTGGTAGCGTCTGTACAATGTAGAAAGTAGGAAGGGGGAGGGATGGTGTAGTTAAGGAATTGCAAATAATCCTGGTTTATGGAGCATTAGAGGGAGCAGGGAACAGTAAAAAGACTCCAAAAACTAAACGAAGCCAGATCATGACAATTTTTAATATGCTGATATCTTTGATTTTGTCCTATGATCAGTAAGCATCAAGTGACAGGATCAGAAAGCGAGGATTTATGTGTCCAGCTCTGTGCTTTGTGGTGGTTACTGTGGTCACAGTGCGAGGGGTCTAAAAGGCTGGCACTGGATGGCAAAGTGTTACGGAGTCCTGGAAGAGGCTACAATCCTAACTGTGGAAAGAAGCACATGGATTTAAAGGAACTAATGTGTTCACAATAATTAGAATCCAGTAGCTGGTGCTGCTCCTGCTCGCAGTGTCAGACAAACCCAGCCTGGCCTCTCGGTGTCTGGCCTGGGGAGTCTGGGAGACAGAGTGCAGTTCTCGAGAGATCAGAAACACACAAGAAGAAACAGATTCTCCTTGCTGTGGTCCTGTGTCTGCTAGGCTTGCCTCTGAAGGGAAGTGTTGAGTCCTGTAGTTTACATTGTTAATTTCACAGAGTATAATTGTCTTACATGTTTTATGTGTTCTCTGACTCATTAATCTGGTTTTTCAATGTGTATATATGATGATTAACATTATAAGTTCTTATAAGGTAAATAAATCAATGTAATACTGGAAAAATAAAAGCATGTGGAAAGAAGGAGGGAAGGGAAGTGAAATGAAATGTGTTATGTATGGGTACCAATTCCCCACAGTGAGCATAATCGCTTTGTACTAGAAACATTGAACTAATAACAATCTAAAAAAAGTAAAAATGCAAAAATAACAATGTCAGTTTGGAATTAATTGAGCCAAAAATAGAGTTGTCCAGTAGGAAGCTGGATTTGTGGCAACTTGCAAGGTTTGCTGGTAAATACCTAGCCAGGCCACCACTGAGTGACAGTGTGAGCACTAAGTGAAATACTAAATAATTAAATCTTATTCATTAGTCATGTAGAAAACACCATTTATGCAAATGTGAATGGCCCCAGGGGTGTACAAGCTGTTATTCAAACATATAGTATTTAAATTTTTTCAAAATTACTATAAAAGACACACAGCCACTAAGCCCACTCAAAATAGTGACCCCCTTTTGGGACACAATTATCCCACTATTCTTGCCAGTTTCTGAAGCAGTTCTGGAAGGCCTCTTTCCTGAATGTCTTTAGTTGCTATTGTGACTGCCTAGAAGTTCTAAGTCAATTCAAAAGTTTACTTTTCAAGGTCATTTTAACTTTGGAAAAAGCCAGAACTCACGTGGTACCTGATCCAGTAGAAAAGATGGGTGAAAAAATACTGTAATGATGTTATTTGACAGAAATTTTTGTGTTTGCTTAGTCAAGGAGGATGAACAATACAGTAAATGATTATATTTTTAAAATTTTTAGATTT